GTCCTCTCTGTGCCTGACTGTGTCCCCTGCACGTGGCTGTGTGTGGGCCCAGCAGCTGCTTCCTCCGGCGCCACCCGTGGGGACACTAGTGCACCAGGCTGGCCTCCCTGGGCAGGGGCCCCAGACCCCACTGTGCCCCTGGGAGAAGGGCAGGGGGTGGGGCACATTTGCATGAGCAGCCCCTCCTCTGCGAAGCCAGCTGGGCAGGGATAAGAGGAGCCTGGAGCCTGGAGCAGCTCAGCCTCTGCTCTGAGGACCCAAAATCAGCTGTGAGCACCATGGCCCGGACCCCTGTGCTCCTCGTGCTCCTCGCTCACTGCACAGGTAGGCACAGGCCTCAGGGACCCGCAGAAGCTGCCCTCAGACCCTTCTATTCACTCCCATGTGTCTGTGTCTGCAGGGTCCCTCTCCCAGCCTGTGCTGACTCAGCCGCCCTCCCTCTCTGCATCTCCGGGAGCAACGGCCAGACTCCCCTGCACCCTGAGCAGTGACCTCAGTGTTGGTGGTAAAAACATGTACTGGTACCAGCAGAAGCCAGGGAGCACTCCCCGGTTTTTTTTGTACTACTACTCAGACTCAGACAAAGAGCTGGGACCTGGGGTCCCCAGTCGAGTCTCTGGATCCAAAGACGCCTCAACCAACACAGCGCATCTGCTCATCTCGGGGCTGCAGCCTGAGGACGAGGCCGACTATTACTGTCAGGTGTATGAAAGTAGTGCTAAGCACAGTGACACACACAGATGGGGAAGTGCAACAAAAACCTCCGCCTCCTTGCTCCAAGCTCCTGACACATCTACTGAGGCAGGAAATGCCTGCCTGGTCACCACAGGCCTAAGCCCCGGGGTTTGTGTCTGAAGCGATGCTGGGAGCGTAGGTACTAAATATCCACAAAGGAAGAGAGGGAAGGAGACAGACACTGTTAAGCACAGTACACGCGGGAGCAGAGCCGCTGGCTTCCCTAGGAAGATACTGCCTCACACCCTCCAGGGAAGCCCTGGTCCGTCCCGCAGATCAGGGGGAGGGGATAGGACAACGAAGGGGGCGGCGAGCACCTGCCCTGCAGGAGCCAGGATGGCACAGGGAGGCCGGCCAGGACACCTGGGAAAGGATCCGACGGGAAGGGACGCAATCCCAGAAGATCCGAGAAATAGGTTGGTTCCGGTGGACCCTTCAGCAGCCCAGGGAGCTTAGGAAACGGACCAGTTAGTTGGCCAAGGGCCCCTGGTCCTTCCCAAGCCTGAGATACGATATGATGCTATCAGCTTAGCCAAGAAGTGCCCTCCCCGCTCTGTAACAGCCCTTGCCCTGTGCACTCACTCACACATTCTCTCTGAAGCAGGGTGTTGGTGTAGCAGCCGCCTGGGGCCCACGGACACCGGGCTCCAGGGCTGAGCTTTCATAAGGCGCAGGGTCCCTGGGCCTTGGCCCCATTCTGGCCCCGATGAGGACAGATTGGACTTTCTATGGGGGAGTGGACGGAGACGGGACGCTGGGAGCCTGGGGCAGCCAGCTGACGCTCACCACGCCACAGCCCCCCCGTTCCTGGGTCCCTGGAATGTTTTCCGTGAGACCCCGTGAAAGAACAGTTTCCACTGGCAAGGATTCCGCATCGTGACTCTTTGCCCTTTTAGTGTGAAAGGCGCATGATGACTCTTTAAAGTTAATACGAACTAAAATTAATGCCAATATGACAGTGACAGTCAAATACAGGCAGAATGGAGACACCTTTTCAACAGTGACACCCCAATAGGACAGAAGGTGAAGTCCATGCACACGATAATCCAGAGGCCCTGATATTTCTTAGGCGAGATCAGCCTTCTCCATCGTGTGTGTGTGTGTGTGTGTGTGTGTGTGT